ATAAAGAGAGAGAGAGAGAGACAGAAACGAGAGAGAAACACGAACAAAAAGGCAGAATCAAATGCCCAAAGACTGGTTTGGGCTGGGCTCATGCCTCAGTGGTACAGCATACAAAAGGCCCTTGGTTTGATCCATAGCAACACCAATATCATCACCACAACAAAGAACATTGAAAGACTTTGTTTTAAAAAAGCAAAATATAATTGGATTTTGTAATATTATGTATTTGCTCTCCAGTTAGCACAATCCTTTATCAGTAGGAACTTTCTTACATTGAGCTTGGCTTCATATTTTCCAGAAAATAACTTATATTTTGTGTGTCTAACTATTGCAAAGTAAATTTAAATGGTTTTCTTTTTTCTTGCCAAAATATCTTCCTGGCATTGACTGAGTAGAATTCATACAGGCTGGGGGGCTCCATGCTGCTGCCTCCCTATGCACAGTTTTCCCCTAATTTCTAAGTAGAGGGGAAGAGGGAAGAAAAGATATTCACTGCAGACCCTGCTAAACAGTGACCCAGACCCTTCCTGTCAAGCATGTGTTCAGCACAGACATTGAATAGTGTTGTGCAGGAAACAGGGGTTTTTCTTTCTTTTTGACCTTTTCTCCTGATGGCACCCTTTTTCATAAGATGTTAATTTTATTGTGACAGTGAAAAAACTCGCTTCAGTATTATAAAATGCATCAATTTTATATTGTGGGTATATTTAGTCTTTAAGAGCAGAAATCAAAGACTCATTACACTCTGATTGAAATGTTACAGGAAGATGCTAGGAATTACAGAATTAGATAGCTATTATACAACAAAATAGACAGAGAGAGAGGAAGAAAGAAAGAGCTTTTGAGAAAAAAATAGAAGCTTTCAAATAGTACTTAGTACTTAGGTCACAGCAAGGGGTCAGATCTTCAATGTCATTCTGATTTGAACCCAGAAACGCAATCTAATTGGAATTATTCATCACCTGAAATCTCTCAGGGAGAATAAGAAATTGTACCAAGTAGAAGTGCCATGCAGAACACAAGGAAGAAAATACCTCCTAGATGGAAAGAAAATGTAAAGAATAAAAATAATTTAATAAGTGGATACCATGTTGAATACTGAAAACAATTTCTGAATTACAAACTCATTAGCATCTCCTTCCATCATATCAGGAAGAAAATAAGTTAGAAAAACACTTCATTACATCTGACATTTACTAATGATGATAGGTTATGTTTGAAAGAAACGAACATTTTATAATGTCAAGTGCCACTAACATAATTAAACATGAACAGTCTCAGAAGATAACTGATTACATTGGTGGCTCTTTGCACTGTGTTTAGAAAGCTGGTTCCTAACTTTGGCTTGGTGTGGTTCTGCTCCCTAGCTGGCTCCAATAACAGGAAATACCTGCTGATTTTCTGTAAATGTAGATTTCTTATGATTGAAAAACACAAATGGAGATCTCTTACAGGGAAAATGCAGGATAGAAAAGCAACTAAAAGACAGAAATTCTTTTTGTTTGTTTGTTTTTCTTTTGTCTTTTTGAGGCAGGGTCTCATTATGCAGTTCAGGCTGGCCTTGAGTTCACTTTGTAGCCCAGGCTGGTCTCGAACTCACAACGATCCTCCTGCCTCAGCCTCCCGAGTGCTGCGATAAAAGACGTAAATTTTATCCTCTGAGAAGTTGCTTTCTTTTTCCTCTTTTTAAAGAAAATCATTTTAGTTTAAATATTTTGATATCTCACTGATGTTTTCAGAAAAAAAAATATTTTTGGCCTTAATGGTAGGTTTGCTTAGCAAATACTTGAATATCTGTTAAGAAAAGAATTGTAAAATGGGAAACATTAGCAGCTTGACAAATAGTAGGTAGGAACTTTTTAGTTAGAATTTTGGCACTCCTGTATTTGTTTTTGATTTAAAATTTTTCCCTGGTGAAATCTTTTAACTGTATGTGCAGCATGCTCAAGACCTGAAGTTATGTGAAGTTACTGATTTAAAATTGATGGAATGGCTTTCATTTGTAAGGTGTGCATTGTACTGTAACTGATTTCTTGTTTTGATGGTTAATTCTTTCTGTATTGAGTTCAAGAGAAAATGGAATGAACCATTAGTAAAGAAAAATAAATAATCTCACTACATCAAAATACATTTATTGACTGTCTAGACAGAGAATAATAGATTGAAGGACAGGAAGCCTGGTACATGATAAAGTAGGTAAATTTATAGTTGGAGAAGTCAAATAAAAAGACACGATGGTGTTAACTGATCAACAAAAGTGATTTAATTAAGCTACAGGAAATAGTGCACAATAGCCCAAAGACGAACAATGACAGGGGCTGAAATGCTGTGACCCAAAACATAAAATACTTTTGTTAGTGAATTTCCAAATGGACACAAAGATGGTAGGTGGAATAAATACTTAGTCACTTCTTATTCAAGTAAGCAGTGATCTCTTAAGTACCATAGTACATTACTGCTGTTCACCAGAAGGAATTATTTAGAATCACCAAAAGATTAAGTTACGCTTCAAATGGTTTAACATTAACTCTCATGAGATAATTCAACAAACCTCTAGTAAACAGAGACTGTGGTAGGTATATAACAAATTTATTTTTTTGTATTCTAAGCATAATTTGCATATTCTAAAATTATATCCTGTAAGAAATTTATTAGTCA